TTGTTGGCGAGGGTATAGCGGTCTCTCAAGAAAACGGTGGATGCACCTAACGGTGAACCACCGTGATATAATTTTGTAGATCCTGTAACCCAGGCTCACACTCGAAATATTGAGCGACTTTGGCGAGATGTTCGTGATAACATACCACGTTATGGAAGAAGTAGATCTCATTATCGTCAGTATTTTGGGGAATTTTTATTTAAAAGACATGATTCACATTCAAATAGAATTGAAGCATTTATAAAAGAAATTTCACGAATGTATCCGATAGAAATTGATGATTATTTGTACTAGTAAATGAATGATTATTGTTGGAAAATAATTTGTGTCAGTATATTAGTCGTTACTAATTATATTTAATGTTGGAGAGGATTGAGGGGGGGGGGCTAAAAAGCTAGTCTAAATTTGTAACAGATCCCCCACCCTCAATTCTCTCCAACATCAAGTATTTGCAAAATACCAACTATTCAAGATAGTATACATTTCCCAATTTTCAAACCTTAAAAACTATGTGAAGGAATATTTTCCGCACCCAATATATATATATATATATATATATATATATATATATTCTTATTCAGCATAAAAAACAAAAATTTTTTCAATCTATGATAACAGTGTAGAAGATGGTTAAATAATAAGGCTAAAAATTCAAATGGGAAAACGAGATTAATTGTCGTCAAGGTACATTAGCATGATCTTTGATAAGACGAATTATAATCTAAGTGTAATTTTTTAAATTTCTAATATTAATTATTATTTAATATATAATTTTCAATACTGCTCAAATAAATTTATTACAAAAATTATGATTTTCTGAAAGTATCGCTCTATAAGTTTCTGATTACAGAAAATAGTTCATTTTATTACATCGAATTAATGATTAAGTATCAAAATTTTTTTTATTTTTGAATTTATAGCCAGATATAACTCGGAATAATGAAACCATTGATCTTAACACCACAAATGATAGTGGAAAGAATATTTTACCTATTGGACTGAGTGTCAACGACATAGTTGTTGAAGTGATTGATCTTAATAATAATCTAGAGACCTTGAGTAATTCAAGTTCTGAAGATGTGCAAATAATTTTATTCGAAAATTTACAAAATAAAGAGCAGTTAAATACAGTTCAATATGCTAAATCTTTAAATATGGTCAATTTCAAAAATTAAAAAAGAAGAAGCGAAAATCATGACGAAAAAAGCAGAAGCAAGAGAAAAAATAAAAAATGAAATCATAGTATGTAAAGAGAAAGCTAATGGACAAAATTTCTTTTAAAAAATAGGTCGTTATTCACTATTATTAATATATCATTATATATGTATACATAATTTCTTAGTGGAATTGCAATTTGTGATATCGTACGAATTATATTTTCATAAGTTATAATAAACATTTAATGAACATGACTTTAAAGATTTTTTTAAAATTAGAATTTAAAAAATATAAAGCGAGAATAGGGGCATGGACCGATCGAAAATAGGTACAAAGCATTTTTCACCGACCGATAATAGGGACATCTGTTGCTGGCTGTATATTTTTTTTTAAATTATAACTTCAATTTTTAACGATTTTATATTTATTTATGTACTCTCTAATATAATAATGAGAAAATTGAAGCTACGTTCATGATTTTATCGTGCATCATTAAAACTTTATAGAGATTCTCATAATGAGTCACACCTTAAATGAGCGACAAGTAGGATTATGACCTTAGAGTACCAGGCAACATAGATATTTCTCTGGACACTATACCACTAGCTCATGTCATTCACTCGTGGCTCAGACGATATCAAGCTTTAGATCTATAGCTCTCGTGACTATTTTTGGTTGGATCGTCTTCAGTGTATCTTAGTCAAGTTCATAATTTCTAACAAGTCCAGCCTTTTAAGTGAAATAGGATCATGATCTTCGTAAACTACTATCCTAGTTTTTGGTTCAAAAAGAGACAGCTCAAATTAATTCTTCTAAGCTCACTCCAGATGAAAAACACCATGAAGCTTACTTTAGCAACACTCACTCAAGAGATGCAACTGAAGGATATGGTGTTAGACTGCCAATAGTTCTATCCCTACCAGCTCTTGGAAAATTCAGAAATCTAGCTTTCACGTGCCTCCGATTAATGCTCAAGCGATTTTCAACTGATACTAAGATCAATCAGATCTACAGAGACTTCATGGATGAATATCAAGCTTTAAGACATGTAAGGTTTACTCCAGAAGTTCAACCAAGTTCAAGTGAGAGTCCTGGTGCTGTAACTGGTGATCGCTCGAATGAGATGACCTTGGCACATGATACTTTTGTATCAAAAGGATTGAATGTCTCCCTCATTTTTATTTGCCTCATTATGGAATTCTACGTGAGCAAAGTCTCTCTACAAAATTGAGAGTCGTCTTCAATGGTTCAACTTAGACAAGCTCTAGTTTCTCGCTCAATAATGTTCTTTATACTGGTACCAAACTCCAAGTCGACATTTTCGACGTCTTATCATGGATTAGACGAAACAAAATTATCCTCAACTCTGATATAACGAAGATGTTTAGACAGATGAATGTTCATCCAGCAAACCGGGATCCTCAAAGAATTCTTTGGCTTGACGGACACAAAAACGTTGTTCCATATCAGCTCAGTACAGTTACCTATGGAATCAGGCCAGTTCCATTTCTAACAGTACAAGTTCTACTTCAACTTATTGAAGATAAAGGCACTAGATATACTCGTGCAATAGCTTCCAAGACGAAAGGTCGCTATGTCGACATTTCGTGGCTTAGATACTTAGCAAGAAGCTCAGCTGATAGCTTAAGGTCTGATACAGCTCTGCATGGCGAGAAGCTTCCCTTTAGCGAATTAGTCTAATAATAGCCCTATTTTTTTACAAGCTCTAGCTCTTCAAAGTCTCTCAACTGATCCTCCTAAAGCTCTATATGATACAGAATTGAAAGTGCTTGGACTATCTTGGAGTTCGGTATCAGATCAATTCTTCTTTTCACTCAAGAACTCAGATTAAATAAATCTAGATGGGATGATGAACTTCCTGCTCAGCCCCCTCAACGGTGGACGCATCTACGAGACGAGTTACTCTATCTCGCTCATGTTCGTATCTCTAGATGGTTTAACACGATCTCCAGCTCATACATAGAAATACATAGCTTCTCAGATGCATCGCAGTTAGCCATGGCTGCATGCATTTATATTAAAGTTCAAAACTTAAAAGAATCAGCTCAGATCCAGCTCTTGTGTGCAAAAACAAAAGTAGCACTATTAAAAACCAGTTATAATTCCTCAGCTTGAACTAACTGTTGCTTGAATGCTCGTAAAGCTCGTTAAATGCGCTTAAGGAGTGTTTGAATTAGCTGAAGCTCCTATTTTTCTATGGACTGATTCATCTCTAGCATTAACATGAATACTAGGTCATCCATCCAACTGGAAAGAATTCGTACGAAACTAAGCATCGTTCATTCAAGAGCTCAATTGAACTGCAAAATAGCTCTATGTTCCTGGTAAAAAAAACCCAACGGACTGTGACCTGAATGGCCAAAAAGATTATTTTTTTTTGGCCAGTTCAACAGTTCAAACCTTTAGCTCTTGCTCATAAAAAAGAAAGATCTGTCATACTATTACATGCTGTTAAAGCTTAATCTGAAAAAAATCATCCTCTATAGTACCTTCTATGAAGATAAATCAGCAATTTATTTGCACTAAAAATTAACTTCTAACAACCAACCAACATCCAAATCGAGCGAAGACAGATATGACGATATTATGTTATGACAATAACAAGTTACAGAAATAAATTGAGTTTGTATGTGGACGAATGAAAACCGCTGTAAATACTACATGAGAATTAGTAAATAGAGAAAAAAAAATAACATTTAATAGTAAAATTTACTACACAAAAATTTACGCTTGGATGGTGAGGATTATTGCCGTTGTATTCGAATATTTTTTATCTCATACTTGAGAAGAATTTCAGGTGATCGATAACATTTGACTTCTTCCGTACATCTTCAGTACAATAACAGTTTTTTTATGTGCTTCTATTTGCTTTTATTTCCTTATTCTCCTTCGACTAATAAACATGGTACTCATCAAAAGATTAAACTTTATTTCACGTAGTGGGTACATTTATTCAATTGATGATGTTTTTTTCTGGCAAAAAAAATTTTTAGCCTTTAATCAGGGTAAAAATTATTTTTCTCTAAAGAAAAAAATATATTGCGGCCGTTGCGTCTCACGGTCAAATTTTAGGGTAATTTTTACGCGAAAATTTTCTTCGTGTACATCTACGACATTATGAGTATGGAAGATGATCAATGGCCGAAAATCTGCCGAAAAGAAGAGGTCAGACAAAATCCAAATGAAAAGCCTGTAAAATACCAGGTTTCAGGAATAATAAAAAAAAGGAATTTTATATAAATTATCTAAAACTAATCGTCAAAGAAAACGTTAGGGCAGATACAGTCTTAAGAATTACTAATTTGGATACCGAATGATCGTTAAATGAAAAAATATATACAATCGACGTTAAATGGACAAACAATAGTCACTCGCAAATACTAATATTCCTGATCTTCTTCTCATAATAACGATATTCAGTATGTACGCCAACCGTTTTTGCATTGGAATTCAGTTCTGAAAGTATGAACGGAACATCACAGTTGCTATAGTAGTGATTGAAAGTTGTGATATTTTACACATCAGTGATGCTACTACATCTTCAAACAAGACATGTAGAACAATTACAAGCAAACAGATTTCATCAACCACGAAACTTAGTTGAATTTACTAAACCTTGTTTTGAATGTATATAAAGAGAAATTATTACTTTATTAATAAACAAATTTAAAAATATTAATTTGTTAATAAATTTCAACTAATTAACTTTCAGAGAATCTCATACGGAAAAACATATTTTATACAAGATTTCTTTTTGGTTTGATTTTTTCCCCGTGTAGTGTGTATAACAGAAGATAGAATGAAATTTTCACAATACTAACCTTATTGTTACATGTGAATCAGAACCAGAACTGGAGGTAGCCGAAGGCTGTTCCGTGGTAGGCGAGGGACGGGATACCGTAAGAGCAGGGGGTTGCAGGTCCTCGTGGGTTCCTGTGGCGCCGGAGAGCAGCAGGAGTGGTAAGTTTGGAAACAGCCATGCGGATGCTGTTCCCAACTCACTAAGATCGCTAGCGTCGCTGGCCCTGGAGGACTTGCGGCTACTGGCTCGACTTCCTCTATGAACATGCAGAAGAGCCGATAGCTTACCCCCCCATCCACCGGTTCTGCCTTCGCTTCCTAAACCGCCCGGACTGGAGGTTTGAGTTTGAGAATCTACTTCATGAGCTATTCTTTCGCGTTCACGTTTTATTCTGAAAATAACGACAAAATAAATATACTACTCGAAGAAAGTACTATTTATGTTTTCGGTGAAGTTATTGTTCTAAAATTTTATTAAGTATTAATTTAAACAATTGAAAAATAAAGATTTTTACGCTAAATATTCTCGAAAAGTGCGTTGAATCAGCCTTGCGGCTTTGTCTTGTCTTTTCCAGATTCTTGTGGATGACACAATTTCTAATTCTTTTCTTGTAGGAAACTGTTTTTTGAATTTGACGTCCATTTGTTCTTGTAATTTCCTGAAATCGTCAGACTCTTCAACGTGTCCAAGGACGTGCTTGACGAGTGCGTGAAGGATGTCCAGACAGTGAATTTTATTTCCTTTTGCGATAGGAAGATTAAAGCTAACCAAAGCCACTACATTGGGCTTTGATATTCCTAACGGTGGATCCAAGCTTGCTATAAAGTCACTTAACTGAGAAAATCGGATGAATTGTGTTGCATGCGGGTCATATCTACAAACAAAGCCACCATTATTCCACATTATCAACTAATAAGAATAATCGTAAATATTAAAAAAATTTTTTTATATTTTACTTTGACCATCTTATATAAAACATTTCCAAATCATCCTCAACAATGCCAATTTCTTCTTCTTGGTGCGCCTGGTTAAAATTTTCCAGGATAATAGCGATGTACATGTTGATGACTATCATGTAGCTGATGATGATGAAGGACGTGAAGTACGTTATGGCTAGGAGGGGTAATCCGCAGTCTCCGTTCAACTGCCGGCTGGTTGGGGTAGGATCGCAGTCCGGCGGTTGAACCATAAGAGACTCCAGAACGTCGTTCCATCCTGCCGACGTCATCAAGCGAAACAACAGCTGCATGCTACGACCAAAGGTCTCGAAATTCACCTAAATCAAAAAATAATTCTATTAGAGATCCAATTTTAAATTGTGTATCACTAAAAAAGTTAAAATAAACAAAAAATAGACCTACCATGTCATCGAGAGCACCCTGCTTCCGTACATGTCCAAAAACTGACATGCCGATAATGGCATAGATGAAAGTTATTAAAGCAAGCAATGCACCAATGTTGAAGAGTGCAGGTAAACTAACAACTAGTGCGAATAAAAGTTTCCGAATGCCTTTAGCTGCTTTTATAAGCCGTAAGATTCTTCCAATTCTGAACACCCTCACGACTCGCAGGAGCGTCGGAGACACAGGAAAGTCTATCATTATATCTTCCATAAGAATGCCGAGAATAGATGCTAATACAAGAAGAAAATCAAAAAGATTCCATGGTACGGTGAAGTAATGATAACGTAAACCTATTATCTTCACAATGGCTTCGAGGCCAAATACGGTAGTGAAAAATGCATTTGACACTTCTAATACAAAGAATATCGGGTGAGGTTGATTGTAATGCTCGATTCCCATTGTTAACATATTTAGAAATATCAAAACGAAGATGGCTATCTCGAATCTGAAATGATAATTATTATTAATTTCTATACATATCTTATCGGGCTATACACGTGATGACTTCAAAGTTAACTGTTGTGAATAAATCTTTTGGATACAAAAACATCTTGAATGCTACTTAAGATTATTTTTAGATTATAAAATATTGTTATCTATTTAAGATGTATGTAATTTCAATAAATATGATACCGTACCATTTTATTTTTATGTTCTATCGAAAATCGTATCTACCACAGAATTACTTAATATTTAATGACATGGAATACAAAATGGGTGTTATATATTATTCAGATAACAAATATTTTGATTAATGAGTAATTCAAGCTCCCTTCTTTACTAAGAGAAGCTTGAATAGTCGTCGTTTAATTAATTTTTTGTAATTCGTGTATTCTATAATAATGAAAAAAATTTCAAAAATATTTTAGACTGAATTACGCATAATAATAACAATAAATAATAGAAATATAGGCCGAAAAATTTTCGAATAAATTGACACCTAAGTCTGAAATGGTTTATTGAAATTGAATACATTTCAAATACTTTTTCAATTACTTTTTCATGCCAAGTATACAGATGTATAATTAATTAAAAAAAAAAATTATAAAACTCTAATATTTGGGATAATTTTTTTTTATGTATACATATACTAAAAATAATCATATTGCTTTCAAATTGAATGATTTATATGAAAAAATTGTTTATCTAAAAGACTAAGTTTCTTAAAAAATTGAATGATACAAATTTTTCTTCTTTTTAATTAAAAGAGAAATGCACTTAATCCTAAACAGAAACAAGAATTGGGTAGAGTTCCGTTTAGGTGTCACCTCCGAATCGGCTGAAACTTGGGGCCTTTGTTGATCTTGATGAGACATAAAAAACCCCCAAGGGATTTTTGGCGCAAATGCACCATATCATTTTTATGGGCAGAACAAAAATTGCAGAATGGTATTTACTAGTGTTATAGTATCCCTCACCGTGTTGAGTATCTAAGAGCAGACAATAGATGGTGAATCCTCAAAATTTTTTCCTATGTTCAATTTATTCAGAGATCAATATAAGTGCGATTGATGAACTACTTTCCATGAAAAATATTACTTTAATACTAATGGATGATTTTTACAATTTATTTAAAATAGCTACTATCTGTACTGATAGAGCTATTACCTTGCAGTGGGTAAGAGACTTTGGGTTGATACCATCAAGTCGGTATTGTCCTAAGCATAAGAAAGTGATGGAACGTAACGATAATGATCTGATCTGTAGGAGATTTATTGATCGTTCAAAAAGCAAATATAAGCATACCCTTACAATAGCTGATAATACATGGTTTGAAAAATGTCGAATTTCACTAAATATGGTAAAATCTTTAAACCCCATAAAAAATTTGCGCCAAAAATCCCTTGGGGAAAATGCATCACTAATTGAAGTAAACTCGTAAAAAAATTTTGGTCCGAATCGGAGGTGACACCTAATCGGAACTTTATCCCAAGAATTGAATAAAAATTATCCTACTATGCACAGTAATTGTGATACACTACATAAGGAGCGTAAAATTTCTTCTGATATTAAAATTATTTTGGTCCTTTCATTTTTTAGAAATTTCTCTTCTACAGAATAAATTCCACTATTCCTGTGTAGTGCACCACAATTTATAAAATTATCAAGGTAAAATTATATCTTTCTTATTATTTTACATTAAAAATTGTTAAAATCTAAATAATCATAGAAATTGAGTTGTATGTAAACTTATTACCTTCTGGAATTAGATAAATCGTAGAACATAGCGAGGAATTGATTCATTGGACGTTTTATAACTTTTTGAGGTTTTTTTCGACCTAGTTTTTTCATGGCAGTGTAGTAGTGCTTCTGACTTTCGGTCAGAAACATTTCTAGCACGCCACCTTCATACTGAAACATCATAAAATTTATGAAAATTTTGTATTTATTATTAAAAATATACTCATAATGACAATCATAAATAACTAATTAAAATGAGTGGATAAAATTATGAATTTATGAATAATGGTTGTTCTTACTTTTTTTTTCAACATATTAAAATTATCGATGATGACTCCGATAAAGAGATTGAGAGTGAAGAATGATCCACAAACAATAAATATGATAAAATAAATATAGGCCCACAAATTGGCTTCTCTTTGTGGTTGAAGATCTACACCTCTCGCATCAACCGCATCTTCCATTACTTCCATCCAACCCTCAAAAGTTGCAACTTGGAACAATGCCAAATATGCAATACCAACATGATCGAAAGTTATCTTGCTATTCTCCCAAGTATAATTTTGACTTAAACAATCGTTTTTCGTATTTACTATCTGCATCAAACCAATTAAATACCAATTAAACACTTGATACAAAGTTAATAAATTCTTCCACATACCGAAATATCCAAAAGTTCACCATATTCATCCAGACACTTGAAGAACTTTCCTCCGAAAAATTGTACACCCATTATTGAAAATATTAGCCAGAACACGAGACAGACGAGGAGCACGTTGAAAATACTGGGAATTGCGTACATCAACGCGTTCACTACAATCTGTATGACCAACACAAATTGTTAATTATTTTTTTCTTACAATAAATATCACAAATATTTATTTCAATTCTATTATGTTCATGACAACTAATCTTATAGATATTTAATGATATAATAAATTCTTTGATTAAATAGCATAAATTGAATAACTTACCCTCATGCCTTGCCATCTTGAAATTGCTCTGAGTGGTCTCAAAGCTCGAAGGGTTCTTAAAGACCGCAACACTTTAAGGTTTTCATTTTCTTCTATTAAAAGACTAAATGTGGATACCTGTTGAGTAAATTACATCGTTCTAATTGGTATATGCAATACCAAATAAATTATTGAGCATTTCATTTATGTGCAAATATACAAAACATGCTGCGATTAAATTCGGTATATATATACATATACACTGTGCAGTTATTGTTAAATATATTTGTAATACTGTGAAAACTATCAATGCTTAGTAAAAATTACTCTATTGAATTACAGAAATGTGACTGATCAATAGAACAATTTTTATTGCACCGTATTCTACACGGAGAAAAAATTCCGTTAATTTTTATTTAAAAATCCATACAAAAATTACCGTGCTGCTCAAGAATGTGAGTTCAAACTTACTGAAAAGTAAAAAGTAATGATCAACATACAAAAATTATAAGTTACATAAGAAAATGTATCATTCAGTTTTTTGAAAATTACTTTGGCAGCACCAGAAAATTTAGTGTTCCACAGCACCTGAAAATTTAGTAACGTTAGCTGTGATAACTACGTAACCGACAAACAATTTTATTTAAGTTTAGTGATAATTTTTTTGGTTATATAAACAAATAAATAAATAAATTAGGTTCATTGATAATTAACTTTCTTAACTAATTAATTCGTTGGAATGAAATACGGCACACGTTTTACAATACTGCCCCCCCCCCTATCCCTACGATCGGGATCTTACGCAGAAAACCTGTGTCGTCGATACAACCACCCGGCTCTCCGAAGAGATCTTCCTCTCCCGCTCACGGTGGCCCGAGAAAAATCATATAAATGACTTTTGTCTCGGCCGGGACTCGAACCCGCGACCCATCGTGTGTCAAGCTGACGCTTACCCATGAGTCCACCGCGTCAATCCGTTTAAGCTTATCATAAATTGTTAAGATATAACGTGTTGCCGCCAATATTGAATCGTAACGAAAAATATGAATGTCATCTTTGTTTACAATATGGAAAAAGTAACTATAGCACTGAGGGTGTTCACACAATCAAAAACAAAAGCCGTAAGATGTACGCATGCGTACAAACCAATTTTTAACTTATTATGATGTTAGTATGCACGCGTACGTCTTAAATTGTACGTTTTACGGCTTATGTTTTTGATTGTGTGAACGGTCTTACAATACAAAGAAAGATTGTGTTGGACCGATAATTCGAAGATTCCCGACCCAGCACGGAAACTCTCGAGAATAGAAAAAATTATAGGAGAGCACCCGAATTTTTCCTACCACACGGATCATAATAAATTATATACAGATTCTCATTTTTTTCTAGTCACTTACTAATTTTTGTTTAAAGTTTGAATAAAAATTAATATTTATCGAATATTACCGTGCTGCATAAGAATTTTTACTTTTACTCTTCTTAATAAATATTGAATCTATAATAAAAATTTTAAAAGGATTACTAATTTTTCTTTGAAGGTTGTCTTAATTTTTTAGGGAATTGACATTTGCGCGTGGATTGTTGTGCTGAGCACGGTAATTTTTATTGGAATTTTTTCTCCGTGTAGAAACAGAACCCAATTATTCGAATGACTGATTATTTCTTTTTTTTGTCTATAAAATTTATCTGTATCTATCAGTAACATAACTATTGTATAATATTTAAATTATTTATTACAGTGAATAAGAAAAAACATGTATAAGTGGAGACTTTTGAAGCGAAAAAAGTTAAATTTATAATTTTAACGTACCTGAGCTCATGAGGCGATACATAAAACACACAAAATAAATATATAAACAAATGTAGAAAGGATATATTTTTAGTTAACGAATAATAATATTAACAAAACTTGAATAAATATTGTTATGTTAACGTCAATTATTTGATGAACTCTATGCACCAGTTTACGTAGTTTTTCATTATTATTATTAGATCAAAATGATTGAATTTTTTACTCTGGAAAAGCATGTAGCAAATTGAAATATATATATATATATATATAATATAGAATACTGATTTTTCAATTAAATACTTCTATGCAATTTGTATATAAAATTTATGAAATCAAATTGTTGGAAAATTTGTTTTACAAATTATTCAATTTTAAATGAAAAATACTCTTGAACGTTAATCGATCAGATTTGAGAATTATATAACAATATTTTTATATTAAATTGAAATCGAAGAAGGTTTAATATTTATGATACAAACCTGTGAGTAACATAATTAAAATTATTATTTTATGCGGTATTCATGTTGTAGCAGTTATCAATATAAGCATAATGAATAGTATATTACGCAACCCTGGGCGAAACTGAGCTACATCGTACCACGTGTAAAATTGCAAACCCGTGGTATGATATAGATCACTTTATTCTTGAAGTGAGTATACTTTTTTTTATCAGAACGTCCCCAAAAATTAAAGTTTTTTTCCAGTTTTCAGGTTAGAAAGGTGACTATCTCTCTCCCACAGAGAAAGACAGCACACGTCTGCACGCAAGCATAGACGATTTTTCTGACTTTCGCTTGGGAAGAGATTGGTCAATTTCGGACCTCAGAACCGGGACAAAAACTTTTAAGTTTCAGGAGGTCTATGTAAAAAAAAAAAATTTTTTCGGTATAATAGATTCAATTTAATATATCTATATTTGAGTCTAGTTTCAAGTGTAAAATAATTCACTTACAAAAACAATTATAAAATCCAGAATTGTCCAAAAACTTGTAAAGTATTTACAGAATCCAAGTGCCAACCATTTCAGCAACATTTCTAAGCCAAACAGTGCGCAGAAGCCCAAATTTGTCCAGTATAAAATTCTCTTGAGAAAAGGATTGTCATCAAGATAAATGTCTTCAAAACAAAGAGTAATGGATGAGGCAAAAATGAAAACTAATATCATCCATTCAAATGCTGGCGTGTCTACTACTGAAAGAACTGCAGTTCGCAGTTTTATCCATCTCCTTCCAAGATCCGTTTCAATACATTTATTAATGCAAGTACATCTGTAAAAAATAATCAATTATATTTTCTGTTTGTTATGGCTATTGTTAATGTTTTTATGAATACAGAATTTTATCAATCAATGAATCTTCTGAAATATAATATATAAATTATTAACATTTAATGGCAATGTTTATTATGATAAATTTATTGTTAGTAATATTTTACCTTCGGTAACAATGTTGAGGAAAACAATCCTGTGGAATCGGTTGTGCTCTATTTCTTCCAAAGCCTGGAAACGAACTCATGCCATCTACATACCGTCCTTTACTATCTCGTCTTCCACCTACTGTTAATTCATCAACATAACTAACAAGAGCATGCCACGGTCTTTTTTCTGCTCGTGAACTTTCTAGTTTAATGGGTTGTTCTTTTTTTGTTTTTTCTGGAAGCATTACTAACTGCTCGTCTACTTTACCATTTTCTTTAAATACATCCATTTCTATACTTTCCTCAGGGTTAGTTTCATTACTATCGCCTGTACCCGCGTCTATTTTTAAAGTTTTTTTAGTCTCTTGACTATTGTGACTGTAAGTAGTGATAGTTGCTTGACGGTAGATAGGTTCATAAGTAAATACAGGTTGATTAAGACTTTCTTGATATGATCTATTATAAACATTATCTTTTGGAAGGCTCAATACTGTTTCTTGAATTGCATATTTTTCTTTATCAGACTTATCCATTACTTCTCTCACTATTTCTTCCAATCTTCGATTTTTTCCCATTTCAGAATTCTCTTTTTGGAATCGTTTTTTCCTTACAATTGATCTGATTCGATCAAATGATCGTGCTAACTTTGAGTCTTCCCCAACTTCCTGTTTTTTTTGTTTTAGTTCTTCGGAATTGAAACTGTTGAGTAACAAAGCCAAAAAGAGATTAAGAACCATGAAATTGCCCATAACGAGCGCGGGAAGAAAAATAGCAAAACATGTCTCCGGTCCTTCATCACGTTCTGCTCTCATACAGTCCCATAGTGGTTCAATCCATTCACCACACAAAATCCGAAAAATCATCATAAATGAATGAAAGAAATCATTAAAGTTCCACCGAGGAACTGGATCAGGATAAAATTTTTCAGGAGTATAATCTTTGCTGAATAACTGCATTCCGATTACGGCAAATATATAAATAACAATCACTAATACTAATGTAAGATTACCAAGTGCTTCGATACTAGAGATAATGATGCTTAATAAAACTTTCATGGTTGTCCAAGACTGAGCGAGTTTAAGAACACGTAACAGCCTTAAACCACGTAAAACTGATAAACCATCCACAAGTTCAAATGTGAGATCAATTAGTGATGCCGAGACAATGATTAAATCAAAGTTATTCCAACCGTTGTTAAAAAAGTCCTTGCTCAATGCAAGCAACTTAAGGAAGCACTCGAATGTGAATATGCTCGTAAAGACTTTATTGCCAATATTGAGAGCTTGTCTTACACTCTCACTCATACCATGATGCTCGAGTGCAAGAAAACCAGTATTAAGGACAATACAAAGTGTAATAGTTAATTCAAATAATGGATCTCTTACTATCTGAAATAGTGAAATACCACAAGTTCATCATATTGAATTAAATAAAAATTATCTGTAGTAATTTGTATATTTACTTATTTACCTTATATAAACAATTTTGAAATCGCAACCAACCCTCGTAATCTATACAACACTGAATACATTTGTCACAATTTCTATCCGGAAGATCATCTATAATACAGAAAGAAATTTATAAATCCTAAATAAGGTAATTTAATATAATAATGAAGTTCATTGTACTATAAAACTTTAGATGAGTAAAATTAAATAAATTAATAGAAATCGAAATTAAAATAGTTAAGCTTCAAATTAAAGTTAAAATTTAAAACACCTCAAGTATGTTGCCAGAGTTATTTGAATTTTTTGGTTTATCGAATAGATAAGAATAATCGAAATGAAATTGATATGTTGATATAGAATATAAAATAAAATCTAACGTACCAAGAACAACGATGTGCGATAAATATTCAGGTGGTAAAGTATACATCTGTTTTTTCGTTTTAACCCCATTACATTTAAGAACTCTAATTTCACGACTCTTACGCATCACCGACACAGTAACAGGTGCAACTGGTAAAAGAGGTTTTTCTGCAGTTGTAGATGCAACAATATTCATTCTCTCTTGACGTTCCAATTTACGTTCTTGATGCTTCTGTTCTCGATTTTCACGTCGTTCATGCTCCTCAGCTGAAGTGACATCGTCACCATCGTGATCGTCAACAACGCCAGAATCATCGAGAGAAGATTGCTGATTGCTGTTGTTACTCGCCTGTCTTGAATGCAGCATTCCTCGATGAGGAGCAAGACGGTGAATTGGATCTACTGGTCTTTGAGGTGCTACTTGGAGAGGCAGATTCGACGGTCGAACATTCGAATGTCTTGGGCTTGGACTAGGGCTCGGTGTTACCGATCTAAATTATACATAAATATAATGAAATTCGTTACTAAAAAGCTAAGATTTGAAATATAATAATGAATGTAACTCATTAATTTTAGATTGCATTAATTTAAAAACTAAAAACAAAAATTTCTACTATTATAACGATTTTTTTATAGAAAAACACAATACGTAGTTATTTAGAAACGGTTTCGAATATCATTAAAAATATATAGTTGAAATATTACTATGTTAAATTATATGATTACTCATTTTAAATTCTTTGAATCGAGTTAAGTTTTTAATTTATTTTCTAGGTCTGAATAAGATATATACATTTTCAAAAACTACTGTTGACCTAAACAATTTATAAAACAAATTTTTTGGTAAATAAATACACGGAAAGTTGGTGAAAAATGAACCATCAAGAAAAAACAATAATCAACTAATTAACCAATATATCAAAAAATGTTAATAATTTTTAATGCATTAATCAATTGAAAACTTAATAAACGAAAAATGCTATGAACATTTTAAAATTTATTTTAGTAAATTAATGCTTTTTCGTTCGTGTTTCACTTTATACTCTCTTTTCCTACTCTGATGTAAATGAGTACACTGTGTTTTATTGCTATTTGAATTTAAAAATTAATTAATGACTATATTTTATTACTTTTGTATTTAGATCATTCAAAGAGACTATTAATAAACTGATATTCCTAAAAAAGTACTATTGCATATCAATTTGTTTTCTTTCTCTGGTGGGATTTAAATAAAAGACCGATTTGTAGTTGCTTTGATGAAAAAAAAAGCTTTTATCAACGTAAGTTCAAACCGAATCTATTTTACGAATAAAAAAAGACTGAAACAATTATCAGCGAAAATTCGATTATTTATAATAATTGAATCTTTAGACAACGTTAAAATAAAAATTGGAATAAACAAAGTGCAATCTGAAATTTGATGAGTAAATTGAGTATATTTCATATATGTAGACCTGCTTCTTGTGCCCCCATTTTTCTCTTGACCTGCTGAACTTCTCCCTCTTTTTCTTCGACGAGTTTTTTTTCTTGAATAACTACTCAGCAAAACTCCTTTTCGTGCGTCTATTTTTTTTTGCTTTTCCTTTGTCAACGTTTTGATGTTGATTTTCGTTGGGTCAAAACTGAATGTCGAATCTTCACGATGATCAGTCAAGTCTTTCTTCCTCTCCTAAATTAATTAATTTGATTAAATGTTGATAAATTATGTAAGGAAATGTTTTATAAAACTTATTTTATGAAATTGATATAAATACATCAATTATTATTTAATTCGAGCAAATAAATAAATTCAGAAAATAATACAACAAAAAAGATTTAAAAGGAATTTTAACAAATTTAGCCGAGCCATTTTTTCTATAACAAAAAAATTATACAATAAGTAAAATGATAAGCAATCAAAACGATTTTTGACTTATCAAATGATCAATAGTGTCAATAAATAAGGTCATCATAAACAAAATATTATATTAAATGACGATTCATATCTTTAATCAATCGTAAGTTAAAAAAAACAAAAAGTCGTTTCTATTGTTCTATTGTTCACATGAATCGTCCGTAGAAATTATTTAATGAAAAGTTTGTCGTATCGGCATTTCAAAGTCAAACTAGTACTCATAACTAATTACTTAATCAGTAAAAATGTATTTTGATAATTTTTGACATTTCTTCTCTTTCATCTCACCCCATCTAAACAATTTTCGTGCTGGTACACTTTCGAAAAAAAAGCAATTTCTTACGGACAAAACTCGAACCTGGATCATCTAAGTTTATGCGTTAGGCGATTTATCATTCAAGCTAGCACTATACTTTAATTTTGCTACTTTTCTATACGTACCCATACTAATCATGCTCAAACACAATCACCGCCTTCTCTCTTATGGCATTAAATTTAAGTTAATTCAACAAATCACTATCTTAGCAAATAGAGCTGGAGAAAATATTTTAAATAGTTACATGAATCTTATACATTTTAAATTAATATTGATTTTAATTTTACAATAATACAAGCTTACTTCCGTGAGTGCGTCTGCGCAGATTTTAACTAGTATAAACAATTATTAACAGGAGGAATGAATGCACGAGAATTTGAAACCATGATATTGCTTAGCTTACAAAAAAAATTCCTTATTTATTGTAACCGATAAATGTAACATAATTACGTTAAATAAGAATAGAATAAAAATGAAATTTAATTTCCGCTTCGTAAGATTTTCAAAGGGGTCTTCATTGAGACCACCCCAAAAAACGAACCTTGATTGCCTATCGTCAGTATTAACTTCAGTACTATAGTAGTTGGTTCTGCTCTTAGAGACTTAACACGATGATACGTACTATAACGCTAGTTAAGACTATCATACGTTTTTTATTCTATGAAGAAACTACACCTTTCGCGTCTTTCCCATCCATCACTTACAATTTAAAAAAATTATCAATCTTACTATAAGGTTAATCGCGATATGGCCATGAAAACCCCTATAAAAATGTTATTGTGGCCCATGACTAAACTTCCCTGGGGGATCATTTTTATGTTGTCGGAGTCAGAATATCGTCAAAATCTACCCCTTTTGGGCGTGACCCCTATGAATAAAATGGCTTAAAATGGTAACATCTTTAAACCCCTTTAAAAATAATATGGTACATTTTCGCCAAAAATCCTTTAGGAGTTTTCCATGTCCCATCAAGGCCTAAAGTTTCATCCCATTTGGAGGTGACACCTAATCAGAAGTATACCCATTATTTGTTATAAACAATACATAATTTTCAAAAAAATGAGTCTGGGCTTAGTTTGTGTACCTTGACTACGAACTTTCGATTAATTGAAATCCATAATTTTGTCATTTTTTGGTTTATAAAAAATTTGTCTGTTTATAAAAAATTACTATTTTTATGAACAATATACAATTATTTAACCATATAAAGTTATTTACAACAATATTTTATTGATATTTATCAAATATAATCATACTAATGATAATTTAATAGAATAGAACCATTTTTAATTGTGCATAACAAATTCAATTTATTATAAACAATACATAATTGTCTAGAGTCATATGAAGTTATTAACAACCATATTGTATTGACCGCAGTTATCAATCATGTTAACCATCTTACTAACATAAGTAAAATCTATTTCAAATATCTTTTTTATTCAACTTTTTCTAAACTCTTTTTTTTATAAAAAAAAGGCTGGACAGAATTGTTCAAACTTCTTTCAGATGCTCTTCATTATATTATCTTAAGAATGAAATTTTTTCGAAATCGATATCTTCAGTGGTTCTCGAGATATCGAAAACAAAAAAAAACTAAAATAATAAAAAAATTCTTTATGTTTTAATAAGGTGTAAATAAATTTCTAAGCTTGGTTTAAAACAGTTCTCAGATTGAAAAACTTTTAAAATTTCTGAGAAACTGTGGCCAATATCATGATTTTCATACAAAGTTTCAACATTAGAAAATTTTTTCGATTTTTCTAAAAAAACTCAAGAAAATTCGACAACATTTGTAAATTACTTTAAATTTTCTAGAATTGTCTAGATTGTTTTTAATTTTCCTAGTAGTTTTGTGGATTGTACAAGAATATCGAATAAATTCAAAAAAATATCAAAAAATCTTATTGTAATTTTTAAAAAAATTAAGTAAATTATGAAACGCTTGTCAGTTTCTTTGAATCATTTAGGAACCTAAAACTTTATGGCCATTTGTCAAAATTTTAATAAAACTAGGAAAATAGTATATTTCGTATCGAGAAAGCAAAATATGGTATTTTTTCCACGAAAAAAATTTTGTCCCGAGCCGAAGGCGAATGATCGAATCTGGCTAATAAAAATACTATATACATATATTTAGTCCCACAGTGAATATATCTTTTTGTTATATTGTCACAAAAATTTCGATTTTATTCTCAATTTAAAGGTTAGTAATGCAAGCCATTCTGCCAGTTAGAGAAGGACAGCATGCATGTGGGCATGCGCATAAACAAATTTTATCATTTTATGTAAGGAAGAAACTATTACTAATTAATCTAGTTTGATTACTTATGTATATCCGTACCGGACCTCAACTAGATCTAACTGTATATGAATTTTTTCTTGAATGAATCATTTTTATCTGAATCAATTTAAATTGTACAAAATTATAAAAAAATCGAAAGAAGTTTACCTCATTAGTAATTTCAGCTTCTTCTTCATAACTTAAAGCTACAACGGCTAACATCAAATTGATGAGGTAGAATGACCCAAAAAAGACAACCACCGTGAAGAAGGTTACACTGATAGGTCCGCATGCCGATAATACCTGTTTTTAAATCAACAGATCATTCCATATTAGTACTGTTAAGATCGTTAATATGATTTTGAAAATTGTAAAATAAAGTTATGATTGTTAAAATAACTTACAACTTACTTACTCTCAAATGTGTTTCATGTTATATTTTAACGTTCAAATTTTAGTGGTATTTCGATACACAGAGAGAAAGATTGAGTAAAAATTATCCTACAATTTTCCAAGTAGAAAATAATTATCTAAAAGATGTCTTTAATATTCATTTAAAATAATCTCTTTCTCCGCAAGATGTTTGAACGATTACTGTGAGATCTCCACATCAACTCCTATGTCTTGCTTAATGTTGTCATTTAGACTAATCTACATGATGTTTAAAAAATGTCCATAAGAATTCTGAAAGATATCTAGAACTTGTCTCGAATGTGTCTATGAAAACCCGAGCCATCGGTATTCTAAATAAAAACAACTGTTTTACCAACCGTTTTATTTTTTTCTTTAGAAATATGTTTTTTTCAGATATCTTCTAGACATTTACAAACGACATCGGAAAATAGTCATCTTTTCGATCACTATTTTTAACGACTATACAGTCAACTGTAAATCGTTCTCATATAAATAAATATAAAAGTCTTATTCTACCTCGGTCGATGATCGTAGTACGTTATACACAAATAGTGAAATTTTCTATAATATTATTGTTTCTTTTACCTCTATACTTCATAAAAATTTCGCTTCTCCAGGATAAATTGTATCCTGCTGTCTAGTCATTCAAAAACTAATGTAAATGAAGCCTTGAAATTTTTTTTCTTTTCAGCTATTTTTTTAAAGATTGCGGGTAATAATTGACATTTAAGAGTGCATTCATAATTATCATATACACATCATATATGCGTAAATATGCTGTTTTACTTGTAGTACAACAATCTTAACACTAAATATATCAAAATGATTATAGTATATTTCACACCTAGGGAGGGAAAGTAGTCTGGCTTAAACCACGTGTAAAATTACAACCCGAGCCGAACGCGAGGGTAGTAAACACGTGGTTTAAATTAGTCTAATTGTCTTCTCTAGGGCTGAGTATGATTTTTCGTCATACCTGCGTGGAAAGTTCAACCCCTCTCCAATGGAGAAGTGAACTTTCCGTGCGGGTATGACGAAAATGAAATTTTTCTTTTTCTTTTAAATTTTCTCCCTCTCTACTCCAAACGTTCTATACTGCAAAAACAATGTATATATGGAAATTAATGACATTTTTTTACATATTAATTATTCTAAATTTTTTTATTAGTTAAAAATCGTAAAATTGATTAAGTAATTAGAATAAAACAAATTATCAACGATAACAAATTGTCCAACATAATCTTTCTTTGTATTGTAAGACCGTTCACACAATCAAAAACATAAGCCGTAACGTACAATTTAAGACGTACGCGTGCATACTAACATCATAATAAGTTAAAAATTGGTTTGTACGCATGCGTACATCTTACGGCTTTTGTTTTTGATTGTGTGAACACCCTCAGTGCTATAGTTACTTTTTCCATACTGTAAACAAAGATGACATTCATATTTTTCGTTACGATTTAATATTGGCGGCAACACGTTATATCATTACAATTTATTATAAACTTATACGGTTTGACACGGTGGACTCATGGGTACGTATTCATTCCAACGAATTAATTAGTTAAGAAAGTTAATTATCAATGAACCTAATTTATTTATTTATTTGTTTATATAACCAAAAAAATTATCACTAAACTTAAATAAAATTGTTTGTCGGTAACGTAGTTATCACAGCTAACGTTACTTAATTTTCAGGTGCTGTGGAACACTAAATGTTCTGGTGCTGCCAAAGTAATTTTCAAAAAACTAAATGATATATTTTCTTATGTAACTTATAATATTTGTGTATCGATCATTACTTTTTACTTTTCAGTAAGTTTGAACTCACATTCTTGAGCAGCACGGTAATTTTTGTATGGATTTTTAAATAAAAATTAATGGAATTTTTTCTCCGTGTATAGATTATCGAATAAAAATGATTTTTTTGACTTTTCACCGCTAATATGACAAAAACAACGATAATTATGAAAAATCCGTAAAGAATCGAATTCTTTACAAAAAAAAAAGTCTCCAAAAGCACCTGTCTATTTGGAACAAGTAAAAAGTGTAATACTCCGAAGACGCACTTGAAAATCTACTACTTTGATTAATTGAAAAATTGCAAAAAGTGATTTATTTTTAAGAGAAAATTTTGAAAGTTGATTTTATTCTTTTAAAATAATTTAATAATCATTACAATTTTTTTCGATTATACGACGAGGTAAGGCGTACAGATGAATGTTGTTTAAATTGATTGTACCTTTCCGACTGTCTTCATTATAAGACGGAAAACCGTCGAAAATTCTTCCAATATTCCTCAAACGAATATAAATAAGATAACGAATTGTAATCTTTTCTTAACTTTATCTAATCTTATTTGGACCCTTTGAAATTACGTCATTGAAACTGAAATTTTAGGATTGAAATTTTTATTTCTTTAAATTTTATTTGATATTAAAAAATTCAAAATACAATTAGTAGATTTAATAAATCGAAATTTCATTTGAACCATAATAATTAAATTTATTGTTAAATATATCTGTGTAATATCTTCCAATATATTTTATAAAAATTATTGATTTGTGAAGCATCAATACTTATTTTATTTATCAACAATTCAAAGTCGATGAACGGCATTTTTCTAATGTTTAAGTTCAATACCATTTTCAAATTGTATCTTGCCTACAAAGAAATATTTTTCCAAACGTAGTTAACTTCTATCCCATTTTTCAAGACCAATTTACTCAATTACTCTCTCTGTGTACTTTTTGCATGGTTCTGAATTTACATTCTATAATTTGTTTATGAAAGTTTTATATTAGGCCCAAATAATATTAATTATTTGAAGGTATTTTGCGTGCTCCAAAGATCGTGAATTGTTTGTATGACTACATAGAATGAAACTTTCTTTTGATGATTAATACAAACCTTATTATATACATCTTCCCAGAAATCCAGAGTAATAAGTTGAAACGTGGTAAGCATTGACCACAAAAAATTATCAAAATTTGTGTAACCGTGATTAGGATTTGGACCAACACATAAACATATATAACTTTCATTGCAGTGTCTGTAGAAAGATAAAGTAGTTTTATTATCAGAGAACTTGAGAAAAAATGAACATATCTTTTAATTGATTTTCTAATTAAAACATAAATGGATATATCAATACATTAGCTCCTATTTTTTATAATAAAGTGTTGAAACAACTTTTAGGATTAAAAAAAAAATTTCATTTGCTTCTATAAAACAGTTGTTTTCATAACAGTAGTTTTGAACATTTAATATCTGACCTAGCTCCGGTGGCATTGCCACAAATGATCGGATTTTCCTCTTCGTCGTGAACCCAGTTGGACGAGTTCCAAGTCCACCTGTAGACAAAGAAAATATGCTTTAAAAATTTTTGAGATCTTTTTTCATAATTTTTTTTATACATTATTTAATAAATTTGAATGGTATTATAAAGGATATCTCATTTACTTAGATAAAATTGAAAAAAAAAACTGTACTAAAACAGATTTTTAAGTAAGTTCCTTTCGATTAGGAAATTATTGTAATGAGATCGATATCTGAAATTCAAAAGTTTGTCATGTTTTATAATTTGAAGCGTACTAATAATTTTGTAAAATATATTTATTTTATAAACACGAAGGAAAGAATTGATAAAAATTTCATCTAATGAATTTTAATTTTAATTATGATAAAGTTGTTTTATTTGTAATTGATTTTTATTTAAAAAGTTACAAGAAAAGTGAAGTGAAGTGTATTATTATTCTAAATAGTCTAAAAACTAGTTTATACAGTTATCGTACAAGATCATTTGAAATATTTATTAAAGATAACATATGTATATACCAGAGCTATTTTAGTGCAGTATGCGGTAAATAATAATCACGCTGAAAAAGGTAAATTGTAAAAATAGAGAAATAGAAAAGACACACTAAAAAAGAACAAAAACTTAGAAACCAAAGAAAATAGAACAAAAAAGTGCGATAGTATCTGTTTAATGTAAGTTCTAATATTCGAAAAGAAAAATTTAAGGAATAATGATTTGTCGAACAAAAAATACATAATGAAAACTTTTAAATCTTATGACTTAGTGATTGTATTTATTGTTTCAGTGGTTGTTGTTAATATAATAGATCAGAAATTTTATAAACATTTATCCTATTATCTATATAATTTTGCAGTTAGATCAATAATTATATATAACTAAAATATTTTATTTTTTTAATATTAATTATTTATCATTATCAGTTATTTTAAATCATTTATCGTTTTTGATACACTCATTGTTAATATAGTATATAAAAATAAAAATTGTAAGAATATTGTTCAAAAAATATTTACATTCAAATTATTAATCCAATCAAATCATTTTAAAATTGAAAATTTTATTTAATTGCCTAAATAATCTTAAAAAACTTTTTTCCGTCTTATTAGTAAAATATTTCTGGAATGAAATTCTTTCAGAATTTTATAGGAACTGTTTTTTTATGTTGACATCTACTCAAACGATATGAAAAAAAAATTATCGTAATACTTTGATTGAAATTTGATGCACTTGATGAAATATTTTAAGTAAATAAAGGAAAGTTGAACTTACTGCCTCCATTCGGAATCGGAGATATTGGGCTCCGGTTGCTTAACGCACTTGTTTCTAAGCTCACCCATGTATACTTGGAGCGCAAAGAGAGCAAAAACCATCAGGCAGAAGATGGTAAGTGTCATAACTTCAGCAAGCTGTTTAAAGCTATGCAAAAGTGCATTAATGATGGTTTTGAGGCCTGAAAAAAAATTAATAGTAACAGATAGAAATAATTGTAATGCATAAGGTGGAATTAACCAGACTGCTTGTATTGTTAAAGGATGACAAAGTATAAGAAATATCTCATTGACCTACTAAAAGTTGGATCTTTTTCTCTTTCCTAAGTACCTTGTACTCAAAGAAGTCATTAGAAAACTATTCATTCGTTGTCACATTCAAGAGGATGAGAAAATCGAATGTAAAGTAGATTTTGTGACGTATTTTTCCTTACTTGTGAGTTTCTATGTCAAATCATCGTGAGAAAACAACATCAAGTAAAAAGAAACATTTAATATAATTTATTCATATAAATAGTTATTAACAAACTATGTAATAAAAAAATATTTACTCTTGGACTGTTATTTATAGCAATATTAGCATTCTTCTACCCTTTCATTATCTTTCTAACTACTATCTACTGACGTATACAAATTATAAATTGACAGTTAAAATTCATTGGATAATTACTTTACGTGATACGTCACGTACTCATAATATTTAACAATTTCTTGTTTATTACATCTTAACTAATTCGAACCTTATTCTTAAATATATATTAATGTAATATTCTGTTTACAATATCCCAAATAAACTTATTTCTCTTTTGGATTTTGAACAAACAAACAATTACCATAACTCGTAATTATTCTGGTTGACACAATTCCATTCTGATACTGGATTTGGTCAAATTTTTTTAATTATAATGTTAAACTTGCATATAAATTTAATTAGATTTGAAAGAAAGAAAAAAAGTTGTTCGAATGTATATTATGCAAATATTTATATTGTAATAAATTTTCAAAAATAACATGTCTATTAATAGTACTACAAATAAGCTCAATTTTTTATTACTGAACATCTATTACGACATTCAACAGATACTTGTCATATACTATCTATTATGTTCAATTCATTAATAATTATATTATTAAATTCCTACAACATCAAGTATCTTGAAAATTAAGTAAATAATAGAGATGATTATGTTAATTAATATAACGTTTATTAGTTTATTCGTTTTATTCAATCACTTTTGTGATTTCCAAGTTCTAAAGATAATCAAATAATATTAAAAATAATTATTTTACTAAACAACTTCAGAAATATTTACGAAAAAATAAACGACAAATTATTTTCAACTACACTGCAAATCGTGGCGTTTAACATTGTAAACATTTTAAGTGTTTAATTTTTAAACACTTGGATTTTCAGTGTATAAATAACTTATTTTTCTGCATATCAATATAAATAATGAATAAGGGAATATTTGTTATTAGTTTAAAAAAACATACTTACCAGGCATAATAGATACAGTTTTAAGAGCTCTGAGTACTCGAAAGGTTCTTAAACCTGCCAAATTGCCAACCTCCATACCAATAGTAGCATAACCACTTGTTATTACAACAAAATCCAACCAATTCCAAGGATTCCTTAAGTAAGTATATTTGTTAAGAATAAAGCCTTTTGCAATCGACTTTATTATCATTTCTGTTGTGTATATTGCTAGGAAGATATATCTGTTAACAACATAATATAAATCGTATTAATTTTTTGCAATGATTTTTTAGATAAATAAATATGTAATAGATTGATAGCCACACACTGATTTGTTGAAATGTGAAATATTCAACGCAAATTTCTAAGATTATGTCTAATTTTAACTTTTTTTTCCATTATTATTATTTGATTTTTATCGGCAAATCCAAATTGAATATTTTCATCAACTATAACTAACTAGTTTATAGCATGAATATTTAACAGAATAAAAACAATATACTAAAACTATTATTTATAAATATTGTAAAATAAGACCAAACAACAACTTCAGAAAATTAATTAATAAAGAAAATGTTTATTAAAGATTGACAGCAATTAATTAAATCGAAAGAATACGTGCGGTCAACTCAAGTCTCAGTCAAAACTGGAGATAAACAAACTCTCCCCTCGTTGCTATAAACAATCTAATCGTCAAGCAATCGTCGTTAACTAACAAACTGTCGTTAGTCTAATAGTCATTAGATGGCGACATACAAATATTTTACAATATCTGTCGAGTTGAAAATAAAAAAACAGTCTCATTTTTTTTTTATTATAATTTCAATAATGAAATAATGACTTACTCAGCTTCTTCTATTGGCTCGGTCATACCGAGGAAGACACAGTTAAGTACTATGGTCAACATAACCATATAATCAAAGTACTGATTTGTACTTAGGAAGATACAGCAACGTCGTATAGGATTCCAAGGGGAAAATATAAACCAGCTGTTTGTCGCTGTAAATCTATGAATATAGTTTTTGCGGAACCGTTTGGACACAACACAAAATGTCTGTAAAGAAAAAAAAAATAAACTTAACGTAACATTCATTGTTATAAATTATTATTGCTTACCATCAATTAATTAATTAAAAGTAAATCAATGAGGAGAACGTGCATGATCTCAATTTTCTTATTAATACGTTCTAGAAGTTTTCGAAAAGGGAGTCGATTACTGGCTGGCAGTAAAAATATTAAAAATGTATTTATGTATTGTAGTATGATGAAATATAATACATTAATATAGATGACTGAGTCATTTTTTATCAGAAAATATTAAATTTTGTATTTAATTGATTCAATGATATAAATGTGTACTAACTACAAAACACAAAGAAAACTGGCAATCGACTTTATAGATCAAATTACATCAAGAGTATGTAATAATAATAGAGGAAAGTGACTAAATATAGCATTTCAAATTATCGTATTCTTTATTGAGTATATACTATTTTATATTTGGTCACTTTCCTCTACAATATGCAATCATGAATATTAAAAATTATGGATAGTTAGTGATACCATTGATGAATGATTTTCTGATTATCACAATGTACGACTATTGAATTTATGTAATCGTAAGATGAAATAATACCACCTAACAGAAATTTCGAATGAATATCATCTGGATTTTCGAAAAAATTCCCTTTACTTAGCAGTTGCTCTCAGAAAAATCGATTTTTCTAAAATTGTTGCATGATCATGCAATAAAGTTTTACTTTTCTAGAAAATACAAGTTACAATGTGTCACACACGTGTTTATTGGACTTGCACGCTACTACTCAATGATCCAGACAATTGATTTTGCATCACGTATACGGTAAGACAATTACGTAGAGAAAACCTCCAAATTAGAGGTGACTGAGTGACAACATAAAAACATAAAATATCAATTTTTCATGTTTTTAACATTTTTATGGATATAAGAAAAAATGTCACATTTTTCATATGGTCATGTTCAATTTTCTATACAAAAAAAAAATTATTAAAGAAATCATAATATTCACATACTATTTGTAATAAGAATTATGCTCTCTAAAATTGAATTAGTAAACATTTTACTGGTTCATCCATTTATCTATAATTTAACTGGAAAATTAGTTACTCCAGACCCATTTACTAATTAAGCCAGTAAAAATCTTGAAAATTCAATTCATAGTATACGGCTCATGATGTCACGCATATCAATGGTTTATAATTATTTATCAATGTGCAGTTTCGAGTGTGTATAGTTTACTCAGAAAGATTGAATAATTTCTATGCATTCATTGATAAATATATTTTCACCATGAACTGTGAGGGTTGCCTCACAAACCGGCTGAAATTTAACAATGGAACCCCCGGGACATACATACAGTCCTTATGTACTAGATTAGTTCGCGCTGCGCCACTAGGCAGCAACCAATTGTCGAAAGTCCTAAGTGACTAAAAAGTGAACATATTTGATTTTGTGAACATAGACCGATCGGCTGACACTCGAACTTGACTGATAGATCGTGACATCAGATTAGTCGATATAGATATTGATTGTAACTGATACTGATTATTTATTTATCATCGTGATCGAAAGAACTGATCTGAACTTAACTTGACCAGTACAGGATCTAGTCATGTGGGAAAAATACGAGAACGATTCCTAAAATTTATAACTTTTAATATCTAATAACTGACTTCTGTTTGATTTTCTAAGTGCTCTATCTGTGAACTCTGAAAGTGATATAGCTAATGAAAAATGGTTAAGAAATAAATCAATTAATGTAAATATTTCTCTAATGCGAATTAAGTCATAGACCGGAGTCGCAAATTAATACATCTGTATCAAATAAATATGTAATATTTCTGTATTTGAACCACCTATATATCAATGAATACTTTTAAACGTTAACGTTAGACCGATCGGCTTTGGCTCAACAGTCACAATTAGAGTGAGTAATTTACCTTATTGTGCAATTCTTTTAGCGTTACTTGTCCGTATCTCATACGTTTGGAGTTAGCTGATTTACCTGATTGTTAAAGTCACGTTAATTATTATTGGAATTTCTTTGCTCGCGAATTACCTGTTTGCATAAATGACCTGTACCGAATTATTGTTTAAATTATAATCAACCTCTTAATGACTTAATTACTATATGTTGAGTCACCGCAATCTACACTGTCTGAATATGTTGTATTGTTTACCGTTGATATTCGATCCACAATGTTAATTTAAATGTAATCTTGTTTTTGCCTCTCCGGATGACCGAAGCCCTACTGTAAATAAGAATGAACGAATTCAATCTCTAATCATCGGATTATGTACATGTGTTTGTGAATATATGAATGTATAGATATATCTTCTTATTCACTAGTCCAAATTCACTGGTTCAATTGGTATTATTAATTGAATAATTCGACTAGTGAAGTATTATTTTACTATTTCCCCCTACGGCACTGAGCAATGATACAAATAGTCAAAATTCACTCTGAATTAGTAAATGGTTACTAATTTCTTTTACAAGTTTTAAGAAATATTCAAGTCTACAATGTACCTAAAAAAAATTTTGTTTTTAAATTTTGAATTTTTTACTAATAGTCTAGTGAATGGCTGATTGATTAGTTACTACCCATTATTAAATTATGATTTCCACAATTTCTACTCAAGTAACTCTCTCCCTCTCTCTTTCTCGGATGATATGTAGAAGCTCAACTACAGAAAATCACATCGTCCAAGTTTTACTAGAATCACTTCCTAATCAACAAAGAAGTACTTGGTTGGCTTATGAACTGATTACTTTCCAACAAATGATGAAGCGATTGAATTCGATGTAATTGTAAGTAGAACATTCGAGAAATACGTGAAATCTATTACTGAATTACACTTAGAGTTTCTTTACTATCATCAATTTAATTTCAACAATCTGTAATAATAGAATAGACGACTATTTATTGAATAATTGCAAAAGTTCTTACAACATTTTTGATGACACTAAAACAGGACGTGAACATTCAACGATTTAATATATTTTAATTTCTATTAAAATGTGTTATGTCCAACATGATTACGTCTTAATTCATTGAATTATTTATTCTATCAATATGAAAATATCAGCAAGATATAAACCCATCTCGGTTCAACGTCTTTCTGAGTGAAAAAATAGGACTTGATTTGGAAAATCTGAACTCAGTTTAAACATAGTTCTTCACAATAAAATTATTATTATTTTAATTTTTAAGTCAAAGCCAGATCTTAACTATAAGTGACCTGATTGAACGAATTTAAACTTAGCTTTGTTGTACTTGAATAAAATATTATTTTTTCTATCAAAGCTACTAAGTTGAAAACAAAATTAATTCATAAGGAATACAAGATCTGCTTTTGACTTTTTTTCAAAGTCGAAATCAGATCTTATTTTTCAACTCAGACTTTTCACATAAAAATAAGTCCCAAACTCCACCGTTTTTGTTCGCATTTGAATTGATGAATTTGAATTTAAAACATCAGTGCTCTCCAGTGATCTGGGTGCGACCCAAAAGGTCCACACTACTAACTTCCCAGTGGAAAGAATAATAAAATTTCGCTAGTTTACCATTTCTTTCAGTTTTTTGATTCTGCAAAAAACATGGCTGGAACGATTTTTGGCAATTGGTCCCACATAGATATCATTTTTTGTTCTCGAGATAATTGAGGCGAAAGATAATTCCGAACGAACATACGTACATACACACACAGACGTCCACTCGAAAACTATTGTATTCAACTCTGGGGACCTTGAAATGTGGAGATATATCAAAATTTGGGATTCGCAAAATCGGACTCATTACAATAACTTCCCACTGGGAAGTTAATAAAATAATCTTTGAATAATAACGGATTCTGAAATAAATAACTTAAATTAATTTTTCATTTATTTGAAGTGTTATTTTCCTTATTACTTTTGTATGGGGTAGTATTAAATACACAATTGTTGAAGGTTCAATTATCGAATTTCGAATGAGAAATCAATCAAAGTTATTTATCACAAATTCCATTATTATCAAAAGATTATTTTAAGTTATTTAGATTCACATTTTTATTAAATTAAAGTACCATAAATAATGAAGTATTATGTTGCAATATTTTGATTTTTTTATCATATATGTGTTACTATTATTATAGAATAAAAAAGTTTAATTATTTAATTAACAAAGATTTACCCAACTATATAAATTTTGAATAATTTCTGACATTAGTTACGTCATTCTATTTTCTTGAATTTTTTATTAATATCTACATACATCTTGACACCTGCCCCAACCAACAAAAACCTCGGCTCCGCATATTTTTGAACAAACGTTGTAGATGTTGTTACGCTAGCGGGCCATAACAATCTTGTAGTCAATCAAAACGCGCGTTGGCTCGAGTAAACCACAAAGACCATTGTTCCCGAAGCAAAATACAGTCAGGATCATTGTTTGAAAAACGCACTTTCGTTTTAACTAAAAATTTTGTAAAATAAATGAATGTATACGATACGGTGGCCTAATGGGTACAGCGTCAGCCTGACGTGCTATGAGTAGTAGCAGATTCGATTCCTGGCCGGGATGAAATCATTCATGTGGTTTTTCTCTGGCCACCATGAGCGGGAGGCTGTTTCACAGAGCCAGCTGATCGGCACAGGTTTCCAGCAGTTTTTCTGTGTCTATCTATGCGAATGCGATACAGTTCGAGTAAGTGATAGAGCGGTAAGTTGGCTGCAGACGCAACCTCAGAGTCACAACGTAATGGCTCCTTGGTAAATAGGATGTAGTAAAATGAACTATTGTGTGAGTATATGGATGTATATTATAAGGAATCGAATTGTAAAATAAGGATGTTATATTGTATGGAAAGTTGGAGTGTAAAATAAGTCTTTAATTTTAAAAGATATGTACCTTCTTTGAATAAATCTATCTATCTATCTAAATAAATGCATACATGGTAAAAAACCATAAATTTATTCAACAAAATGATCAGACACATGTGCAAATACTTCATTTGATCTCAGTAGAGAAATA